CACTCTGTGGCTGCTGTTGTGAAATGCAGCACCTCTCTCTCTCCATCTCCATCTATCCTCTCTCTCTCTCTCTCTCTCTCTGGCTCTTTATCAGTCTCTCTTTCACCCAATTTCTGCTGCCAATGTGCAGTTTGCAACAAGTACATGCTGTACTCAGAACTGAGCTGACAGCCGGCTTTCTCTCAGGGCTGAGTCTCGGAAGAATGCAGTAAAAAAATCCCACACCCTTTCCAGTTAATGAGCATCTATCAATCAAAGAGACCACGTGACCCTCCCACTCACATTCATCCCTGCTGGTCAATAGTTGCTGCTGGACAAAACCTCTCGCCGGGCTGCTTATATATTCATGAGAAGCATGGGATTGTTTCTGCATTTCAATCTTTGAATTTAGTGAAAAAAAAATCACATATTATAATACAAAAGAAAGGGTTTAAAAGGAATGGTGGTACATTTGTGATTTACATACAGATGTTACATGGTCGACACTAAATGTTCCTGCACTATCAGTGGCGGTTTTGCTCTCAGATGCTGGTTAAGAGTCAGCAGTGACTATTTCTGAAGCCACTGATCACTTTAAAAGAATAGTTCACCCAAAAGATGAAAATGTACTTATCCTCAAGCCATCCAAGATGCAGATGAGTTTGTTTCTTAATTGAAAAAGATTTTAAGAAATGTAGCATTCCATCACTTGCTCACCAATGGATCCTCTGCAGTGAATGGGTGCCGTCAGAATGAGAGTCCAAACAGCTGATAAAAACACCACAATAATCCACAAGTTCCACACAACTTCAGTCCATCAGTGGTTTAATGATGGATTTGTTTCTTACAAACATGCAGCTTTTCACTTCACAAGAGGTTATCTGATTTTGTGTTTGGATTATTGTGATGTTTTTTTTTTAAATAAAGTGTTTAATAGAAAAAGACTGTAAAAATGCTAAACTAAAATGGAAAATGATAATATGTTTAAAAAGACTTCCTGATTTTACAATACTTTCAGTAAAACGTCTGAATCAACTAAAAATGGATGTTGAAATAAGCATTCCCAAAAGCCCCTGTTTACACTTTGTTGAGTCTTTTGTGTGTATATTTTTTGAAAACACAGTATACTTAATAAAATGATTAACTTCTATTACCTTCTGTTTTTATAATAATTTTACAATATTAAATGCATTTTAAATATTTTTAAATATTGAAACTGATTACAGAGTATTAAAAGGGTCAAATAAAAAATTTAGGTTGAAAGATTACCCCTCACATTTGTGTATATTGAGTCTTTTGTGTCTTTAATTGTTTGAAAACATAGTATAGCTTATCATATACAAATGAAAAATTATATTTAAAAATGAGCTTTTTTAAGTTATACAATAATTTTACTATATTTATAATATGTATTTTACTTAAATATTGTTAGAATTATGTTTTTAGTAAGTAAAAAATATGAATATATATTCATATATATTTTATACGAATTATATGAACCTTAAAATTTCTGCTGAAAGATTTATCCCCAGAAGTCCCTCACATTTCTGTATATTATGTCTTTTGTGTCTTGATTTTTTTTTTACATGCTAAACAGTCATATCATATGTTTATACATTTTTATTGGCAAGTGCAATTTAATTTTTTTTGGCTTGTCTATTGCTGCCAGTTGTTCAGATTTAATTAGAGGATTCTGGGTGGAGCAAAGCGTGCAAGATACGAATAGATCAAAGGGACAGGTCTCCACCCTGTTTTGTGCATAGTGGTCAAGAAGACCACGAGACCTTGACCTTTCATTAGACGTTTAGGGATAGATGCTCCCTTCCTCATCTGATTAGAAAGACATCAGGTGGTATTCAACCTGCTCAGTCAACCTATTCACTCAAAGGTCAGGCTATACTGGGAATTCATGATACTAGCCTTTGATAGAAGCACTTCAGTAAGCATAGAGCAACAAACAGAGTTTAGATATCCAGAGAATGTTGGAAGACAGGATTGCAGTTTTGTGTATTTATCTCATTGTTTGTTACATATTAAACATATTTAACCCAGCACATTTCTCACAGTTTGCCCTCCACAGCATATTTTGTTATTTGAATTCTCGGTTCAGTTTTTATGCCAATAAACATTCATAACCTGAAAAAACAAAAGCGCTGAAACAAATCTCACATCATTCACACCAGAGACATCTGCTGATGATGTAGATTCTGCTTTACGTCATCACATCTTACACTACAGCAGCTGTAAGTAAAAAAAGAAAAAGCTTATAAGAGAGAGCAATTACACTAGGCCTATAAAAATAAACCTCAAATAACTTAAAAATAAAGGTACAGTTGCTGCTTTAAATTTGAAAGTATAATCAAACTGGCTGTACAAGACATTTAAACGAATTTAATAAATTCTTGTCTTGCAGAATCTTGTATAACTTAACTGGTTAACTTATTCTGATGAGTAAAGTAATGAAAAAACATATGTTGCCATGACTTATTGATCATATCATTTTTTTTACAGCATACGTTCCACCCTGTTTAGCTACGATTTGTCAGAGAAACTTTTCCATTTCTGAACATTTATTTCAGAAAGCATATTGGTGAGTGTTCATGTAAAAATGATCACTGTTGCTTACTGGCCCAAGTCAAAAGACCAAGAAATGGCCTGGGTCTCTCATTCAGTGTAGATTGCATTTTATGCCTGCCAGAAGATTAAAAAAAAGTGTTACAAAAATGAGTTTTAAATTATTATTATTTTTTTTTCTAATTGTCTACTTTTCCAGTGCTCAGCGTTGAGGGCAGACTTCTTAATTAGCACCAATATGATAACAGCATGCTAATGTTCAAGAACCTCGTTTACACACACACTCACACACTCTTCATATCTTTGTCCCCTGTGCCACACAAACACCAGTTCCACTGCTTACAGTTCATCCGTTTATATATATATATATATATATATATATAGTAACTGAGTTGAGGGGGATTCATCAATGCAAACCACTGGTCAAAGCAAACCAATCAAACTCACTCAGCCTGGTGTCACTGACCAGCTTCCTACAAACTCTTGAACATTTTGTATGGGACAATTGGATAATAAGAGTGGGTCAAAAAAGCAAAGCAAATTTATAAAAAGGTCATAAAGCCAGAGAAAGAAAGATACATCTCTCCAGGGAGATACATCAATCACTGTGGGAAGAGCCTTTGTTCTAAGGTCAAGGTTTTAAAAGAAAGGAGAGGATAGACACTGAATTGAGACACTAGTCAGCGATTACTTACTTCCTAATGCACAGATTTGCCATATGGGACATTGTTGGAAAAGAGGACACGTGGTATAGCCATTAGAAACAGTATTGTCACAAGTACAGCTTGTGCACTGCCAGCAATTCATTAAGCTGTCTGGCACTAATTATCATCTTGAGCTAAATTAACACAGACAAAATGTATAGGCTGGATATGACTTGCTCTTTCACTCACAATAATAATACAACAATGTGTAGTTCAACATGAATACAGTGCATGTAAATCCAAAATTATAGGTTTGCTGCTGTGCGTGAGACAAAAACAAAACAAGGTCTTGGCTAATGATTCACTTTTCTCAGATCAAATGCACAATAATTCGCTAACATTTTGCATTGTAAGAAGTTATTATTATATTTTATTATTGGACAAAATCGGCTCCCTGGAATTAGCTTTCTTGGCATTTTTTTTTATAAAACAATTTTTCCAACCAAAAACTCAAAAACGAACTCCCATTTATTTATTTATCTGTTTGTTTATAAACATTCTTAAAACAAGATATTTTTATATTACTATTTTATTTATTCCAATATTATTGGTAAACAGTTTTTATAATTATAAATAAATATCAAATTATCATTATAAAATATAATTTAAATACATTATTAAATGTATTTTGGTAGCTATTTGTTTGTAATATAGGAAAAATGTATATGCGAATATATATATATATACTGTATATATATATATATACAGTGGGTACGGAAAGTATTCAGACCCCCTTAAATTTTTCACTCTTTGTTATATTGCAGCCATTTGCTAAAATCATTTAAGTTAATTTTTTTCCTAACCGACTCTTTTTGTAACTGGTGTGTTTTTAACGTAAACTTGTCTGTGAATGAGAACTTAGTTTAGTACTCACGTGCTGTGACAGCCGCTTTCTGTCCGTGTGCTTTGGATGTGTGCGCTCAGAAAACCTTATATCAGAAGTTTAAACTCATATGGTTTAAAACGCACGATTTCAGTGCGATAAACATGATGATCAGAACCAAAATAGATGTTTTTAGCAGGTACGAGCTGTAAAGGTGCAGCTCTATTCTAAAAAAGGGGGCGGGGAGCAGCAGCTCATTTACATTTAAAGACACAGGCCCGAAAAACAGCTTGTTTCTGCTTCCACTCAAAATAGGCATTTTCAAAATGATATAATAAATGATCTGTGGAGTATTTTGAGCTGACACTTCACAGACACATTCTGGGGACCCCTGAGACTTATATTACATATTGTAAAAAGGGGCATAATATGTCACCTTTAAAGTAAATATCAAATAAATTCATCTTGTTTTAGAGATGTTTAGATGTTTGTATAGATATATTTATGTTCAAAAATACTGTTTTTTGCTGATTCAATAATAAGCAGAATATTATAAAACAGTAATCTACGTTTTAAATAACTGATATTTTAAATATCTGGAACATTTATGTGGCTTGCTTGTATGAGCCCTAGTTACTTTCTGACAATGGTATCATATAAAATGCATTTTCATATTGAATTCTTGCGTATTTCAATTGGTTGTTGAGCTGATAAAGAGTATATCGTCTTACAAGTGTCTCTCACTCTGAAACAGCCAAACATTTTCTCTCAATCATCATCCGAATTTATCTAGACACTCAAACCTCAAATGCACCTCTCTAGCAGACGCTGTCGCTTTAAGCGGTGGGCGTGGTCAGCGCACTACGTCCCGCCTTCTATGCAAATTCTCCCACTACTTTGGCTGGGTAATATAGTGCGGTACTCGTTTCAGGTGTCCATAGTGAGCGCGAGCTGCGGCTTGAGAAGGGGTCACACAGGCGCTATAAAGCACACAGAGAGAAGCGAAGTTCTCACGAAGAAGCGGACTGCAATTTAGCAAACATCCTCGAAACGCAACTTATAAACAACAGCCGGATAACACAAAACCACACTTGAGAAACCCAGCACAAGACAGGATTATTCAACACACAGCTGACGACGCTTTTCTGAACTTGTTGATATGAAAGCTTTTTGTGCAAAACATTTAGCTGGAGCTCACCGGTGAACCGCAAGCCCTTATTTTCGCGTCTCAAATGACATGCACCACACCGTCTCCCGGATCTGTGCTACGGTAAGTGTTTAAGCAAGGAGCGCCTAATTTATGTCTTAATCGTTTTTGAGACAGTATTCACTCGTAGTAGCATATGCACTTACATGAAGCAGGTTGTGTCATGTAATATAAGTATGTTGCGAAACTTCAAGTTTTGTACTGTAAAGTGTCAGTGCATGCAGACCAAATACTCTAACGTTATAGTATCGCGTTATCTGTTATGCGTCTTTAATAATACATTTGCATGCATATTTTTTAAAATAATTAATTCATCATTTCTTTTATTTGGGATACATTTTATATTTATTTTTTATTTATTAAAATGCTTGCAAGGGTACACAATAAAAATAAAATAAAAAGGAAGTGCTTTAAGTTCATTATCTCTAGGAGAGCACCATAAGATCGGGTTGTTTTTAAAAGCGGATCAATTGTGGTTTTCAGATCTTGAGCTCTGAGGAAGCCACCAATGGCAGGAATCAGTGCAAACGCATCGCGAAATAAGAAGTGGGAGATGGAGGAATGCGACCAATATCAGCACTATTTCTACGACGACCTCAACTTGGACGAGGACTTCTTTTTCAAATCGACCGCACCGAGTGAGGACATTTGGAAGAAATTCGAGCTCGTGCCAACCCCGCCCATGTCGCCTGTCAGGATACTGGAAGGGACCGGTCCATCTCCTGGGGACAGACTAGAGTGGATGTCCCAGTTCTTGGGGCAGGACGACGAGCAGGAGGGACAGTGCAAACTGAACGCGGAGGAAACTCTGGAGAACTTGAGCTCCATCATTATTCAGGACTGTATGTGGAGCAGTTTCTCCGCAAGTCAGCAGCTGGAGAAAGTTGTTAGCGAGCGCTTGTCCTGCTCGGCGCAGTCGAAGCTCTCCAGCAAGGCGCAGTGCGTCCCTGCGGACAACAGCTTGGCGACTGATTGCGTGGATCCAGCAGCTGTCCTTACCTTCCCCCTGAGCAGCAGCTGCAAGAAACCGGTGTCATCCGGGTCAGAATCTCGCACCGACTCCTCTGGTAAGCTCGAGCCCGTTGACTTTGAACGCGACTCACTTATTTGCTTAACCGTGCAGTGCAACCTGTGCTGACGCCTCCTTTTGACACCTGACGGAGATCTCAGTGTCTAGGATCGTGCAATACAGTAGTTACCATTCATTTGTGCGTTAAGTAGAACTAAGCCAGAACCTGGCATACCTGAATAGAAAAGTTGCATTGGTGCCATGGGATTTAGGTTGGCATTTCATCTAGATTTCTACTGTAATAATGTGCTGAGCTTCCACATTCCTCAAGTGAAACAAAAGGAGAAATTGTTTTACTTGTGGGTGGTGCCAGCAGCAGAAACCAATAATAAGGATGCTTGAATCCTAAAGTGTTCAGGGCCACTCAACTGTCCACGAATGAACAGTTAGTATCTGAAGCTGCCACATTGTAAGGGCACTTGCAACTTTTACTCAAAATTCTGTATCATTTGTTCATGACATTCCAAACCTGTTAGATGCAGAATACAGAAGATATTTTTTAGAATGTTGTGTCCAAAGCAACAGTAGATCCCATTGACTTTTCATAGATTTTTTTTTGGGGGGGGGGCTTAAATATTACGTTTATTAGTGAATTTCTTGTTTTGTGACAAATTGTGCTCTGTGATCAGAGTAATAGCATAGTGAAATCAGAGCAGAGGGAACTCGGATCAGATGCTTCTCTTATCAAAATGCACATCAGAGGTGACTCCGAGTTCATTATTGCTGTTCAAAGCCTCATTTACTTTCCTCTTGCTGAGAATAGGGAACTAATAGAAACCTAAGATTCATCTTGTAGTTTTAGGACCCATCTAATTAGATCTTACATTCTGAATGGAGTTTCTAACATGCTTGGATGCGTGAATAAAATGGTGTTGGACTTGGTAGGAGGTGGCTTTACACAAGATATGTCTAAGTCAATCTACATTTCTTTCTGTTCTTCCAGATGATGAAGAGATTGATGTTGTGACGGTGGAACATAAGCAGAACAAGTCCCGTTTGGTGAACGCCCGTAAACCAGTGACCATCACGGTTCGTGCAGACCCCTATGACCCTTGCATGAAGCGTTTCCACATCTCCATTCACCAGCAGCAGCACAACTATGCTGCCCGCTCTCCTGACAGCTATCCTGAAGAGGAGCCGCCTCGCAAGAAGATCAGGCAAGAGACCTTGCAGCCACGATTGGGTTCCACACCCCAAACCCCAGAAAGAAAAACCCCCTTACCTTCCCCCTCAGTCCCCACCCCATCTCAGACGGTCTCCGCTTCTCCAACACACACATCCTACCACCTCAAATCCCAACCATCCAGCCCTCAGAGTTCGGACTGTGAGGACACGGACAAGCGTAAGACACACAACTTCTTGGAGCGGAAAAGACGCAATGACCTACGCTCCCGATTTCTGGCCCTACGGGATGAGATCCCAGGCCTGGTTGACTGTCCAAAGACACCCAAAGTTGTGATCTTGACCAAGGCCACAGAATACCTGCGTACTCTGCATGTCAGCGACAAACAGAAGGCCCAGGAGAAGAAGCAGCTGAAAAAGAGGCAACAGCAGTTACTGCGGAGACTCGCTGAACTGAAGCGTGCATAAACCTTCATAGTCCAGCCATATTTTCAATAGGAACTGTGTAGGACTGCGTGTTTTTTTTTTTTTTCTTTTTTTCCTTTCTTTCCAAAAGTGGGATATTTAATGGAACGGACTCTATATTTTGAGATTAGTTCTTCAGTTTTTGTTCTTTGCACACTTGCCTTCGCAATGGGGGAGACGTACTTGTGGAAGCTGTGGAACTGGTTCAAACATTTTCCAAAGTGGGTCATTATTTCTGGTTTTCATTTGAAATTTGAAGATTTAAACCATGAATGTGTGTTATCTTAAATTCTTTCGTGAAAGCTATAGTATTTGGGGGGGAGAAGTATTTTTTTGTATCATTGAATTAGCATGCCAAATTAGGCATTATTTGAAATGTAGCAATTTATATGCATGTGTAATCGATCTTCTAAATCAAGCCCTTTTTTTGTGGCAGAATCTTGAATTTATCTGGGTAAATATATTTAAGGGTCTTTGATCAATGTGGCTTCTCCGTTAATAGTGCTTTCTCTAAAGTAACCTAAATATAAGGAGAGCTGTGTGCCCCCATTGCCACATACGTTTAACAGACAGGAAGTTGCATCACTGTTCCTTTGTTACATTTTTTTTTTTTTTCTCTTCAGTTTTTGTATGTTATTGTTATCTTGAACATTCAGGACAGTGTCAGCCTTGCAGTGTATATAAACTGTGGCATATTCTTCGGACATATGTATATAATTGTAGTGGTGTACAGGACATTGTGTAAAAATACATGCTTTGTGTTTTGAGTATGTAATCAGCACTGTTAATAGACTTTATTTTCTATTTTTCTGTCATTTGTCCTAAAACTTGGTTGGCCCACCTGCCTTCCCTAGAGTATCTCAAATTTTCTATTTTTGTTAAGAAAAGTAAATAAAAATCAAAAAGTTAAGTAAAACAACACTATCAACATTTCATTTTCATCACTAGCCACTTTATGCTGTTTTCACTGCCTATTCCCTTGTGTTCGGAAATTTCTTTGGCTTATTGCTTTTGTGGCAGAAAAAAAATTAATAATTTTGTACTAATTATATTTTCTTACAGAATTAATTGTATCATTGTTTGATTTCTATTTAAATATAAAGTTGTACTGGTGGTGTATGCTTGCTTATCTCCAAATATGACTATGGTCATTTAAAGTTTATGCACATGGTCATTTGTAAATCAATTATTTGTAAAAAAAATAAAATTTTATATATATATATATATATATATAAATAAAAATAAAGGCCATGTGCTCACAGCAATCACCACTGGTTGATTGAGGTGACTTTTGTTTGTACATTTAGCTTTGAAATTGGCCAAAAGGGTAAAATATGCATATGCCATCAGTAACCCGTTGTTGTTTTTTTTAAATGTTTTCTCTTGTCGTCAGGTGTCATAACGGGAGGAGAATGGCAGCAGCATTGTCGAAGCACTTTGTGTTCTGTACCTCATAAGCCTATATACATAAACTCAAAATTGGGTAAACAATAAAATAAATTCATTTCAAATCACGTCAGCATGCTTGTCTTTCTTTGTTAATTGGCATTTATTTCCACGTACACCTGAAGCCATAAAAATGTTATGTTTTAACAGAACTCTGTCATCATTTACTCACCCTCATGTTGTTCCAAACAAGTATGATTGACTTCTGTGGAACATAACAGGAGATGCTTCAGTCACCATTCAACTTCTTTGTATAAAAAAAGATGCAATGAAAGTGAATAGTGACTGAAGCCATGGTCACACTAGTCTTTGAGCTTGCAAATTTTCTTCATACACTGTCATGATATGACCTCGAGCTCTGCAACATCTTTTTAAAAACTTAAATTCAACACACAACAAATAATAATACATCTAAAATGTAAAAAAAACAAACATACAATCTACTCCACTTTCCTTCTGCGCTGCAGTTTTACATTTTTGTTCTTTTAATTCAGCTACGAATGTCATGCTGTGATGTAGCTTCTTGATCTGCTGTTAGAAAATAATGATGATCGCATTTGGGTGAATTGTCCCTTTAAGAGTTTTGACAGTTCTTAAGTAATATCTGGATTAGAGGGGCAATGGCTGGTTATGAAATGCACCATAACTGTTTAAACAGTATTATCCTGGCTCAGTTATGCCAGAAAATAGGGCAAGGTTTTACTATGCGTGGCATAAGAGCTATTTCACTCCATCATCACCTGTACGAGTGTGTGTGAACTCGATTAGAACGTTTCATTAGCGAGAGCCACTTTTAGTTGACATGTCGTAGTGGCCTTCTTTGCCATGGCAACGATCATCTCTCTTTTCTTTGGCGCAGAACGCTCAGTTGCCATGGAGACGGAAGAGAGCTATTCATACCCGTGTTCTTCCGGAAGGTGCACAAGTCGACCTGCTAAAGTCAACAGTGTTGTCAAAGCAAAAAATTTCAGCTTGTAACACTCCAAAGAGAAAGGAAAACTTGAAATCGCATCATATGACCCCTTTAAAAACTGTGCCAACAGAGCTGTGTAGATTACTTCCAAATTGTAGTCCATTACTGATTACAGATTACATTATGAAAACTTTAGTTAGTTTAGGTAAGGTATTCTGACTACTTTTTAGATAACGTTTTTGATCTAACCTGTTTTAAACTTACAATGAAATGAAAAATTTTATATAAAAAAGCAAATATAACCCATTTTTTTATATCAACATTATGAAATTCATTAAACCAGGATTTGCCAAACTGGGCTTAATTGAAAAACTGAAGTGGTTTTGTGAGTTGATAAAAAGCCATACAAATGTCAAATAAATTAAACATTCGAACACTAAAAATAGAAATATTGAATTTGTTTACCTGCATTCAATGCGACCATTCAGCACATCGAACTGTAAACATGAAAATGTTTTGTTCAATTATTGAAATAAATGTGTCAAAGGAGGTTGCTTTTTTCAACCAAATTTAGAAGCATGGTTTGCAAATGTGTTTACATGATATGTACACAACCATTTTATATTGTGAATATAGTGAAAGCTAAATGGTATGATATTTAGAGAGGACATTTTAAAGGAGAAAAAAAGAGAATCAGGGGTCAATCAATAAATTATGACTGATTTACTGCCATTGTGTGAATAACACGTAATCATGCAATCCATAAAAAGTAACTGTAACCTGATTATGAATATTTTAAAATGTAATATAATCTAAACGAATGAATGAATAAATAAATTAATACATTTGATGTAAATTATACATGTAATCAGTTGCTACCCAGCACTGCTAGCACAATGTTATTAGAGCTAACAGGATTTAAACATATTTACTAGATTCTTCCACGTTTGGAACAAGCAGTGACATTTTATTGTCCATATATATTACAATTCCTGTTTTCCAAGCACTTTTTGTTCGATTGTTGAACTTTTGTCCTATTTCTGAATGAAACATCCTTAGCTTCCCGTACCTGCTCAACTTGAATCCTTCAATCCCGTTCCTATGGAAACAGTTTTAGTTGCTTGGATACAGTTCCCTCCTCCGCTGCGAAATCACCGCGCATGCTCAGATCATTCTACAGCCCTGAGAGCTTGCTGTCATGGCGGCCGCCACGCGTGTGCTCCAGAAAGGCATCAGCCCGTCTATAGTGGTGATTTTAGGAGCTACGGGAACGGGCAAATCCAAACTGGCTATCGAGATCGGGAAAAGGCTTAATGGGGAAATTATAAGCGCCGATTCCATGCAGGTGAGTTGAGCGATCCGCAGGATCATCTGTCAAACAGGGGAGCTCGTGAAAGGGCATTGCGATTAATAAATGACAGGTCATTTTAAAACAGCAGTGCTGTAAAATTAAATATTTAATGCTTTATGCTGGAACAGGCTGATTTGTCAGGAAGCTTTGTTTTGGTGTATCAATTAAATGCAGTTTTATATCGCATTAAACTAGAACATCAGTAGGCCAAAAGCATTTGGACTCTTAAACGTTTTGCATAGCGCATCGTATACGTTTGAGGTTTTAGAGTAATTTTATTTCCTCGTGTCCACCACTGGTCGCCATTTTTGACAATGCTCCACGCGAATTCATAAATTTGACGTAAAGCCAAGATTAAAGTCGTGTCTACTGATCTCTGTCTCTAACACCAGGTTTATGACAAGCAATGTGTAATAATTGGTTTCATATTTTAGTTGATTTGGCAGTATATGCATAGATAATCCAAAGGTGACCATTGCTCATTTTCCTGACTTGATTAACTTTGATGGGTTTCATTAAATAGATAGATAGATAGAAGTCACCATGTGCAGTAGTTACCTTGTAAGTCTTAAGTATTTGTTTGGTTATGTATGAATATTTCTGAGCAAAGCTGGAGATATCTTGAGCATGAGCACGATAGGGCATGTTGCATAACAGTATGAATGCTGTCTTATAAAATTCCTGTCCACGATCTGGTGCCAACTCCATATCAAGGTCTATATAATATTTGGAGAAAGCTGTCCATTAGCATCCCAGTGACATTTACTAACTGGCGCAGATACCTAGTGAAGTACACGATTAGAAAGTCTGCCATCTTTGCTGGTTGCATGTGCACTCGGCGCTTCTGCCAGGCTGTATTGAGCAGTTCACTGTGAACTCGAAGGCAGCACATAGGCAAAATATCTTTTGTTATTTTTAGAGCCCTCGAAAACAGACCAGAAATCATATGTTAGTAGCAATATAGTGAAATATGTACTTAAATGTTGCATGCAAAAAGTACTCCAGATTACACAGATATTTTGAGTGACAGTCAGTGGAAAACTTGATTTTTTTTAAAGGGGTCATAGGATGCGATTTAAATTTTTCCTTTCTCTTTGGAGTGTTACAAGCTCTTGGTGCATAAAGAAGATCTGTAAATTTGCAAAGACTAAAGTCTCAAATCCAAATAGATATTCTTTATAAAAGTTAAGAGTCAACCACGCCTACCTAAAACGGCTCGTTCGAACACGCCCCCACATATCTACGTCACGATGTGGGAAGATTTGCATAACGCCGCCCAAATGTTCACGCAAAGAAAGAAGGCGTAACTTTTATTCTCGCTGTAGTATTGTTGCCGCCGCCGCCGCCGCCATGTCGTGAAGAAGCTTGTGTGATTCGTTGTGAAAGCAAAACTACTTTGTTTGGTCTTCCAAAAGAGGATGATATCCGCTTCGTCATGCCTGGAGCTTATCCGTGCTGGTTGCTGAGGAAATACATCAACTTCGCGCTGTCGATCGCAGGATCGGCTTTCACCGTGGACGAAGCGGAGTCCAGCCCGGGGTCGTCACATGTGGTTGCCGCAGGCATCACAATATGGGAAGGGGCGTAACATTTCCGTCACACACTTGAGGTATTCAGTACACAGCACACCTCGCTTTTCAGACCGATGAGCTTTGTAAAAATTGACACGTTTCAGAAAGGCGGGGCATAGAGGAGAAACAATAATGTACAGTATGTGGAAAATAATGTTTTTTGACCCTTAAACCGCATAAACACATTTCATTACACCAGATACACAATGTTATTTTTAGCAACATCATATGACCCCTTTAATCCCACCAGGAATTAACAATTTTTGATTGATTTTGTGGTGGTAATTTTCAGACTTCTGTAGAAAATATGGAATGTTATCTAACTAAGGTGTTATTAAAAGCTGTTCTTCCGGAAGGTGCATAAGTCGACCTGCTAAAATCAACAGTGTTGTCAAAGCAGCAAATAAATGATTAAAACTGTGCCAACTCATCAGATATCTGAGTGAATCTCAAAGCTCTCATTATTGCATTTAAGGATACAGATAGGCTACTAATTTCACCATATTACTAGTAACTAGCACTCAGTGCTGGGTGGATTGCTTGCAAATAGTAGTCTGTTACTGATTACAATTTACACAGTGAAAATCGTAGCTGGTAACATAATCTATTGGATTATTCATTTTAAGTAATGTATTTGGACTAATTTTTGATTACTTTTAGATTACTTAAGACCTAACTCGTTCCCAATTTGAGATTATAGTGTGCCATATTGAGATGTAACTGTAATCTGATGATGGACATTTTAAAATGTAATATAATCTACAAGTAAATTAATAAATAAATACTTTTATTTATTTATTTTTATTTTTTATTTGATTTGATTTGATTTGATTAGGCCTATGTAATAGGGTTGGGCCGATAGACAATGCCATCATCCATTTGTTTTTGTTATTAATAATGAGAACACAGAAGCAAAGTGCAAACAATATGACAAAGAGACAAATTAAATAAAGAGTGCTTTTACATTTTTTAATTTAGGTTTAGTATTCAGGTGCAGGAATTATTGAATTGAGTTTTATCAAGGAAAGTCTGTTCACTCTGCGGCCATATTTGCAATTCCTCTGGGCAGTTATTTCAGGCATGCAAGACCAAGTGCTGTCTACTTGAATGAGGAAATCCTGAGAAAAAACAAGAACATAATGAAAGGCTCACCACATACTTAAAATCAGCAACAAAATCTGCCAGGAACTGACGCATAAATGTTGTTACTTATGCTCAAATAGCATAAACATTTTTTAATTTTTGGGCTGTACCAGCGAATTATTCTGATGATACTAGGTATGTCACGATACCAAAAATCTAGTAGTCGGTACCGATACCACTAAAAGTACTCGATACTCAATACCAAGTCGATACCAAAGGTAAAAAATAACAATAATACTGAAAGAGTAACTCCTTTATTTAACATTACAAAAACAAAATATTAGTGGCACTTGGCCTTCAAATAATACACACAAACACGCATGCACTCTCGCACACACACACACACACACACACACACACACATACTCTGAATGCAAGCATTCGTTTAAATTTACTGACATACTGGCAGGCTGAAAATATATATTTTTTAAAACCATTAACATAAACAATTATTTAAACCAGTAATATTAGCCAATAATGTAAATATGGATAATCTGCAGACGGATACACAATGAATGAACAAGCTGTAAGCTGTCAGACAGACCGTAACTTTATGTGTGTGTGTGATCATGCTCAGTGCTCATGCTTTCAGAGCTGCACGCGCTCATTTAAATCTCACGCAATCCTATTTATATATCATCACCATCTTCCACGTTTAGTTCTTCTGTGTGCTTGTAGGCATTTTTTCTTTTTCTTTACCCTTTGAGGACTGACTGAAACACTTCTAGGAGTATGCTCCGCCTCCATCTGTCAGTTCCAGAAGAATTGCAGCCTCGCTAGTGGCTACCTTCAGTACCATCGGGACTAACGCTATTGAAGAAAAACAAGTACCGGCAAGATTTGAAAATGTTTATACCGACTCTGTACCATAGTATCGGTTCCCGTGATATCTCTATATCAGTGTTTCCCATACATTGATTTATTTGTGGTGGGTTGCCACAATATCAAAACTGACCACCACAAATAGATTTTCCAAAAGGCTTTGACGTCGTTGAATAAACATAAGCACTGCACGTTTCAAAATCAAAACGCGGCACGGGTGTTTTTATATCACTGTATTTCTAAAGGAAACCGTGTGTCTTCAGAAAATTTTCAATGTCATTTTCATTTAATCTGGCATGTAATGCGTGATAAATCAGTGTTTATGAGTGCGGTGCTGCTTAGTGTACAGCCGTTACCGGTGAAACCTCTCTTTCACCCATTCTAAAAGTGCCTCCTACTGGCAGAGAATGAATTTGCATAAACGTGTATATAGTATATTTATACACATGTATAATCCCCCCGGGGATGTGCCGCCACACATAGAGTGTAAGTCTGTAGGAAACACTGTAGATGATACATTGACTTCTAATAATGTGAATGGCTTCTGTTTCTTTTCCATGCTCTGCCCCCAAACGTCCATTCTGGGAGTAAGTAAGTTTGGTGAGAGTGTGCAAAATTCACAGAAAAGGGTTTGCTTTAACAACAAATGCCTGTACAGCTATCCACAGTAATTACAACAGTGAATTCCATTCACTTAACTGTAGGGATTTCAAAAAATTAACAAAAATATTTGAAAATACATTGGCTGTGTACTGGTGTAGGATAACAATCTACATTTGTAATATGTGAAATATGAGGTTTGAATCATATTTGAATATGACTGTGGCTTGTTAGTTCCTCAGTGTGAGTAGAAGCTCATTGGTCACTGCCGATGACGATTTCAAATGTGTTGGACATTCACTACTTGCACACTGTAGGCTTTACTCTGTCAGTTTGTCAACTTTAGTTTTGATACCAGATCATCCAGCTCCTTGCAGCTATGATCAGGTGAAATAGCTGTGGGGCTGCATTCTCTACCAAGTCTATGTCAGTAACCGATGAAAAGGCATTGGCTGCATGGACCACTTTTGTGCTCTCAGGGCCTCGGGAAGCAAGGCCTGGGAACTCAGGGGGTGGGCTTAGTGAAGGTTTGGTACCGCATTTGCATATAGGCTTTTTGGAAGGTCTATTATTCTCTGTAGAAAGGGACTTTTCTGCTATTGAATTTGGGTCAGTTTAATCGTACATTAAAGCCTCATTCAGGATGTGGAAATTTGGCCCATTCCCAAAGCTGAACTGGGTGTAGTTCATGTATTTTATGGTTTGAAAGTGTGTCAGGACATGCGATTAAGAACTCTGATGTATATATTTAAAATTGACAATTTTCTCAGCTAATTACATAATCTGTATAAATCCAGCACATAGATTACATTATTGGCAAAGTATTCTTATGTCGATTGCTCTATTATGTAACTTTCC